AAAAATAATAATTCATCGTATTTTATTGAAATTTTATGGAAACAAATTGAATATCAAGAAGGATGATAGTCAGTTTGAATGTTGTAGATAAATTGGAATTTGATGGTTTATGGTTTATAGATCCATCATTATAGAGAAAAAAAAGTAAATATTGAGATTAGTTAACAAAATAAAAGAATTTTTATAGTGCTGTTTTGTCTGGTTTCGTTAATCTCTTGACACATATGTTATTTCCCACAAGAGTGAGATTGTGGAGAACAGGTGTTTGGTGCTAAAATTTCCAATTTAGAACAGATTTTTTTTCGGAGTCTCAATGTTAAGTGATATCGATCTTCTGTCTGCCTTTGTTTTGGGTACTGATTTCTTATACACAAATAGGGACTGAGCAGTGAGTTATGACCTTTTGTTTAACTGAATGATTGTCCAGTCGTTTTTTGCATTCTTTGCATTAAGATAAAATTTGTTTACTTATTTCCCCATGAAGCTGATTCCATTATTCTTCTTTCGGAATTAAAATTTCTGAATTATTATATGTTGTATACATATAGCATGGAATTGGATTTCTACATATATATTTGGTTTTATGCGAAAGTATTCCTTAATTATACGAGGATTTATACATTCACATATTTTAATAACATTCTTTTGAAATCCAATTCTATGAAAAGATTGAAAATTTTTTGTAAAATATCATTTAGCTTCTTTATATTGATCCAGAGTATTCTAATATGGTGTCATAATGGCGAGAACTCTCTTTTCCCTCCTGTGAATCGATTTTTCTCTATTTTCCTTATTCCATGGTTGAAAGCTTACTAACTAAAGCTCTTATGAACCTTCTTATTTATTGATTGTCTGTGTGGAAGTCTGCTTTTTTTTCATCCCTTAGAGAGGCTTTTTTTTCCTGTAGGTGAATAACTGTTCTGCCTTTTAGGCTTTAAACAAATGCACCTCTCTTTGACAAAGAGGGGTATTGTAGCCAATGTCACTCCAGCTGCTCTTTCGTGCTACCATAATCGCTTTAAAATATTTTCTAGATTAAAGATTAAGTTTAATTGGATTTTTGTCCGTTGTGAGTGAGAGATGTTTGAAATATCTGTTCGGCTATCATTTACATAAAATAATTCTCTGTTGTAATTGAATTGAAATATTTTAACAGTAGAGAAGAAAAAAATACTTTTTGAGAAAGTTTAGCTTACTACAATTATCTCAAAAGTTTCGATCCTTTTTTTTTGTTCATTTAAGCTCATTTATTTCAATACTGCAAGGATTCTTTTCAGTATATTTCGCATTATTGATAAAAATTATTTAAATAGTTAAAATAGAATAACTGTGTAAATTAGCAACAGTTACTTTTTAGGCATTTAAATTTCCTTTAAAGGCTTGTTTTTTTTTTTTTAAATTTTCATCTGATTAAGCATATTCGAGAATACTGAATATAATGTAGTTGAGAATTAAATTTCTCCGCTATATTCCTTTACGCAAATCTTGATAGCTATCATATAGAAGCTACATTCTTCTTTAATCTACTAAGAAATTTTATCTTAATCGAGCTATTTCAATTTACTGTCTCCATTCTGAATTTTTTTTTTTCAATGACTTATCTATTGAATACTGATTTTACCAATAAATGACAAAAGTAGAAATTTAATCCTTTTTTTTTCATTTTTTATTATTTACTCGTTTATCCGCTTAACTATTGTCTCTTACAATCTTTTATCGTTGTCCCACTTCCTTATTAAACGATGATGTTATGTTTTTCTTCATGCTATTAATTTCTTTATTAATCTTAATTCCTTTATTAATCAGGAAATTAAATCAGAGTTAACAAAGTGGGGAGCGCGAATTAATTTTATTAATACAAGTAATGATAGCATGCGAATGCGAAGTCTGAATTTTCCAAGCGCTAGTGCCCCACATGCACCACTTGCTGATGCATTTGAAGTGGATGATTTTTTACTGAATGATGTTGAACAGTGTTATAATTTCCAAGTTACTGGTAGTAGCGATGGTAAGTTCGAAAGGAAATTTAGCTTCTTCTTTTCATCTTTTTTCAAGCAGTTTATTTGAAAAAGGAAAATCCAAATTTTTCTTTCAAAATTTTTCAGCGCCATTAACTGAAGGAAACGAATTGTCAGATAGCAGTGAAGATGAGGAAGAAATGGAACAAGATGAGATGAATATGCATACAGATATGATCAACGATGATTCTTTTTCTGAGGATGATGATGAAATGAATAAAGAGGATGAATATCCAGGTAATCAGATTTTAAAAACTTTTTAGATTGAACATTCTCAATGTCAGCGTCCATGTTTGTTTTCTCGAGAAAATGCCAGATAATGTTATTTTTGAGAGAATGATGCAGAATTTCATGATGATTTCGTTATGTGTTACATTTTCTTTTGCAAAGCTTTTGAACTATTTTTATTGCTTTGCTCTGTGATAGCAAGAATTGAAGTTTCTGAGAAAATTGGAATGGATTTCATATTTCCTCAAAACGGCGGATTCTATTAGTTGTACATGAACCTTAACATTCAGAACAATGTCTGGAAAATAAAAATTGTATTTATTTTTTGAAAATTCCTGCCATTTTTTTTTTGCTGTAATAGCTTTCTCTGTAGTGAAGCAAAAAAAAAAAAATTATGTCAGATTTTGAACTCTTAGAGTTCCTCTTACAGAGTTAACAAGAACTTGTGGAGAATCAGTCGTCGAGAGCGAAAGTTATGATTTTACCGTGATGGATACTGAAAAGGATATGAATAGTGCTAATAGAAAAAGAAAGGTTAATTTCATTTAACTAATCCTCAGTTCTTTCCAGAATTTTTTTCAAACAAATTCATCTTGCAGTTTAACTCAAACAATTTTTGGAGATTTTCGAAAAATTGTTCAGTCGACATAAAAAAGAAGAATTCTGCTAGATTTGTTTTGAGACAATTGCTCTTTGGAGACTGCAAATGAAATTCAACTAAAGAACTAAAGCTTTCATAATCATTTTAATATTTCTCTTTTTTAGGCAGATAGTTCGACGACACGCAAGAAAAAACGAATAAGATGATTCCTTTTTTAAAGTAAAAAATCCAATCATCAAAGTGGGACAGGAAAAATAACAGGCCAGCGATCACTATCGCACATTTTTCCCGAAAGTGCCTGTCTCGCGCAGAAATAAATCGACTTTACTAATCCAAAGAGTAACCTAGTAAAGCTAGACTGTTATTTTCCATCCTTTTTGTGATTTCGCTGTTATAAATAATTTGTGCTGTTGCACTGATTCCTACAACACGAACTATTATTTTAACTGTTAAATACAGAGTTTAATTCAGGAACTTTGAAGGAAAGGGTTTACTCTTCATAATTTACTGGGAGATTCTTCACTATGAGAACAAGACGAAGAATAAATTCGTCAAATTTCTTGCTTGCAATGAAACTTTATATTCCTCAAATTCCCAAATCAGGCCTTCATGCTTCGCTTTAATGACTACCCCACCAATATCACTGAAAGAACAGATTTGTTCAGTTGTCCAACTACGTAAACTTGAAATTATTTATCAAATAGGAAAATATAAGACAGCTTAAAAACGAATCAAACCATGTAACGGAACAATCCATTATAAAGTACAAAATAATGGACAATAACTAGTAACGTACGCGCTGTTCCATCCTTCGTCGATTTTGAAGATTTGCGTTCCAACGGTTTTTATTTGACGACTCCTAAAATTTTCTAATGTCGTAAAAAAAGAATTTGGAAGTTCATTTTCATCTCCAGAAATGCTGAATTATAGAAAACTTAATATCATTGATTATTTCGTGATGTTTCGAGCCCAAAATATTTCATTCCAAGGCAAACTACTTTCAGTTTCACAATCGATTACAAATACGCATATTACCTGATAGGTCAAGCGATTAGGCCGTTGCTGTTGTTCTGTAATAGTTCGTTCCTGGCGCAGGCCGTACCATGCGCCTGGACCTGTATAGCTACGGCCAGCTCGAGGTTCAAGGATCTACAAAATAATTGGAAATGATTTCAGACGATGAAAACGACTGACATTAGAATGATTTTTCGTACACATACTTGTTCATTACTGTCAGCAAGCTGAGTAAGTTTGTCTGTCAGGTGCAAAGCCAGAAGCTGCAGTCGACTTGGTTCAACACGATGCATGATAAGACAATCAGTAGGCTCGTCTAAACTTGCACTCAATTCTTCCGAAATGATCATTTTGCTGAAACAATTGCTATTTCATATCCAGTTCACAGTCCAAAACTAAGTAGGATCCGAGAAAATTAGTGTGGAGAAGGCGAAAAATAATTAACGCAAGAATTTTAAACTTAAGACAAACCCAGTCGAAAAATTTCACACAAACCAAACAATAGCCAAGGAAAGTAAAGGCAAATAAGCTTGTTTTTAGAAAAAATGCTTACAGAAAACTAAAAGCAAACCTAATCACCGAATGCACGGTACTTTTATCAAGTTCAAATAGCTGAGAAAGTGTTTCCAACGAAACAGTAGTATAAACCGTTGAGTACATTAATAAATAAGTACGTAAGGATTCTTCCTGAATACGACGGATTACCATTTCCTTTACTTTTTCCGAGTTACGGAAGAGATTCCATACCTGCAAATTAAAATCGTTGTACCATAAAAGTTTTATTATACTCTAAGTCTAAGAATGATGAAACGCCAATTAAACAACAGATTACAAATATCGTAAACCAGAATTCAAACAAACCTTGGCATCCATTTTATCGTTTACTATGAAGTCGCGACATTTTTTCCAATCGCCATTCAACATAGCTCTCGACGCAGCTACCACATGCTCACGCGTATTTTCAGGTGGACCAACGAGAGAACTTTTCTCCGACTACATATAACATAAATCATTTACATGCTAACTAAGTTCACTTCAATAAATTCTTTGACAAGAATAATCCAAAATAAGAAAGGCTTAATATATCAACAGTCTTACCTGCTTCAGTTGATAATGAAACGACCGCGACAACAGACGCCGCCTCAATTCATATTCCTGTGAAGCCATGTGCGGTATCTCCAGTAGCATTGAGCATATTAAATAGACGCATTCCATTAGTTCAACGTTAATGTGCATATGATAAGGAATCTGGCGCGCACGCTCCAGTTTCTCCTGGACATTATGCAATTATTGTAGATTTCAATTTTAAAAGAGATGAAAATTTGTATTGTACTTAAAAACATAAAAATACCAAAATGGAATTCAAAGTCTTTAAAAGAAAAAACCTGTTCAGCTGTTCTTTCCTGTTGCCTCATAGCAATCCCCTGTGCTAGCAATTCTTTTGCTCGTTGTGTGTTTTGTATTTCAGACAGACCTTGATGAGCTTCTTTGATAAAACTGTGTCGAAAAGCGCATAAACCAAGTTGGCATATTGCCCGATTATACAAAATCTTAAAAACACAATAATGTATAACGCTATAGCGTAAAACATTCCTAAAAATGATTTAAACACATTTGAGTGTAAAATGTGGCTATACCATTAAAAAAAAAATTCAGAAATTATCGAAACAATCAATCATAATGGAAGCAATATTATTCTTTTGGATTGACATATAAAATGTCTGAAATGGTGCCAACCTGAGTGCTAACATCTGAATGATCAACAATAGCTTGCAAATGTGACATAAGCATTAAATCTCGTGCTTGATGCCATCTGTCATGTAATGCTAAATGATAAATCTGACAAAGCATCGCACGCTGTCGTAGACGCTTTGTATCGTCACGCGCATATACTTCTTTGCAAAGTCGTTCCATTACTGCTAATGATGACTCCTGCCCCTGTTCTATTGAATCTTCAATTTCGTACTAAAATATCGCTTTTTTGTTATTCGTCAATAAAAAATGCAGGCTTTTACTAACCTGCTATTAAAAAACTTTTTTTTTTCACAAAATAAAAGTTGCAAAATCGGAGTTTTTACTCAGTTTAGCATATTCGAAACTTATCTAAAAGTGAATACATTGTAATTTAAAGTCAAACTTAGAAAATGAGATCATACGACTAGAAAAAGAACAAGCCAATGTGAGTAAAATGATAAAAAAATTTACTTTGTAATACAGATGTTCAATGCGAAGCATATACAATTTACAAACTTCCTCTTCTAGAAATATATCTTTATCCTGTCGAGCGTTGACATATTCCATTAATTTATCGATGAGGGCACATAAATCTTTTTCACCTTTTAATCTAAAATCATCCAATAAAAATATGATTTTCCTATAAGGAAACTAAATCTAAAAATATATTTCCCTGTTTTAGAATATGTCTTCCCTATAAACTATAGAAAGATATACTAGTATAATCGACCTCGCAATAGTAATTTGTCGTGTATTCAATCCAACCCAAAAAGATTTTTTTAATCGCTAATGATTTAGCCCAAGATTAGACAGAAATCCAAAGCACCATTTGTTTCTTTACAGCTCTTCAAAAATACTTTGATCTATTTCGCTACTGCCGACTCATACCTTTTTGACACTTCAGTAAGGTTAATTTTAATGATCAAATAAATTTCTAAATTAGAGGAATAATTTTAATGGTAAATAAATTTCTAAATTAGAGGAATTCAACCAAAACAAACTTTTCAATATAGTCAGTGCTGTGACAATCCGCATTTTGCAGTATCTTAGTTAATTCTGTATCCAAACGATGCACACTCATCAGGACAGAACCATGCACAGTGTACGGCCTGGTTGCGTCCTGTATGTTTTCATCATCTTCATTAATGCCTATTGACAACACAACATCAGGATATTCATTTAACATATCTATCAAGCTATTGGTAGCTCCCAGAGTTCTGAAACAGGCAGGATATTTATATAAAAGAAAAATTCACGCAAAATTTTATGTGTAAAATATTTCGCAAAAATCCGTACTTGGTCCAAGAAGAATAATCCATACAGTCGCTGATTCGTGCATTTAGTTCGAAAAGAGCAGAAATGATTGAAAACAAAATTTTTACCAAAACACCAGCACCAAGTTTATGCTGAAAATCTTATTCATTGATTCTACTCAATCAAAACTACTGAAATTAATCGAAAATCAAAAAATAAAAAGGTAAAATGTACAAAAACTTTCAGTACAAACCTCATCTGCAATTCTGAATAATTCCTGTAAACTGCGGACGTAATGTTTGGGATTGGTCGATTTACGTCCCCGAGCAGCAATGACTTCTTGTAACTTATTGATTACAACCTTAAAAATTATTAAATATATGTCCATTTAGTTTGAAAGTGAAAAATAATAGATGATGGGAATTGAGTTCATTAGAATTCTCACTTCATGGTTAATTTCAGTCTTCGGGTCAAAAAGCTGACGCATTTTCTCTTCCTTTGTTGGTATAGCAACCCATGTATCATCATTTTCATTTTCTTCAGTTTTCTCTTTCGCTTCACGTTCTTTTTGTTCCTTTTGTTTTTGTGCTCTTTCTGCCTGACGTTTTTCTTTACCTTCAGTTTCACCACCTTCTTTGAATTCCTTCCTGCAAGAGAGCCACCGTAATTGATACTTATGAACATTTAGTACTTTCATTCAAAAGAAAAAAAAAGGTACTTCAAGAAGAATTTACGCAAATCCTCCATTTGTTTTCCTTCAAGATCAAGATCAGAATCACTATCCGAAGAAACATTTGAGTCAGAACTCCATTCATCTGAATCTTTGAGGTCACTATGAGGTTTACTTTTCTCCACTTCTTCCTCATTTTCGGGCTCTTCCTAAATAAATATTCAAATAAATTCCGAACACTTTAAAAAAATATGCCGAACTAAGAAATGAAAAACAAAATGGCAATATTACTTGTTCCTCCTCTTCATCTTGGTTATCTGCACTTGAATAGCCTACTGGATCTGGTTCTGCTCTGTAGGCATTGACTTCCACTTCCATATCCTAAACATGAAGAACTCAAATCATTCTTAACAATGAAGTTCTTAGTAATACAATTTTCAAACAGATTTTTACCATATTGAAAACATCATTATTTACTTTATTGTATTTACGAATTTTTTGTCGCAGTGTAGTGAGACCCTTCGAATTTGCTTTCGACATAGTTTTCCGTGCTTCTTTATCGTCCCACTGTTCGTTCACAAAATCTTCCAGTTCAACCAAAATCCGCACATAAAAACGAGGTGTTGACATATTTTGTCGTGCTAGCACAACTTTTGTCTTTTCAAATACTTTACATAATTCTTCGAACGCTGAAAATCATGATTTCTAAATTTCTCTGGAATTACATAGTTGATAACTATTTTAGTTTCAGAAACAGAGAAATGAAGTTCTAAGTTTTTGACAATGTTTTATTTCTTACTTGACAAAAGTTTCGACATATCCTTGATGTTCCTTGAATTTTTCGCTTGTTTTATTAGATCTTTTAGCTCTTCAAATTTTCGATCTTTCTGTGCCTTGACAACACGTTTTTGTCCTTCATCATCACTATCAGATGGATATGCAAAAGCGGCTCTATAATTAAATTAATTAATTGAACGCAGATTTATACAACTTATAAAATTAACACGAAAAAATTGATTCCATAGAAACAATTCGGTGAGATCAAAAAGCAAAATTTCAACAAAACATACTGCGGTCTCTTGATCGGCACATACGGTTCTTCCTCACTGCTTTCGGAACCCGATGAATCGGAACTTGACACCGCTCCTTTGAAGAACTTTGACATTCTTTTCGATCGAAATTAAAAATAACTAAAAATGACATCATTAATCAGCATATATTTCACATCTCTGCATAATGTTCATAATATGAATTTCTGTAAGCTCTCAGCTTAATGACTTCAACTTAACATTTTTCCTTACCTCCTCCCCTCCTCCTCGTTCACCCTTTGACCCCGAAGTTTATCCACCAACTTCCCAATAGACTACTCAACTGCCTGTGCCACAAATGGACATAACATACCGATCAGTGTGAAACATGTCTGTCCCACTATTACTGAAATGATCGATCAAATCGATTTGGCTCAACAATTATTACATTCCACTGATAACGTCTTCTATCATTTCATTAAACAAATGCTAAATATATCTTAACAAAACACTTTTTGTCACTAAAACTCACTACTAACCTCTATTCAGTATATATCGTCACATAAAAAAGTATCACTTATATGTATTCAATGTTTTATTCCTAACTGATAAATTTAAGCAGTGAAATTTTTGTTTAATTCAAGCAAAATAAAATGGGTCAAAGTAAACAAAAATAGAAAAGTAAAGAACGGAGGGAAAATGAAATGGAAAGGAAATGATAATTATCTTTTTTTATTATCATATTATTCTTTTCAATCGTTCTCATTAACTTTTACATGCGTAAATGGATTTACATGGTAACTTAACAGATATTTTGAAATTTCATTTCTTAAAACATAGAAATTTGGAAAGCTAAGAATTAACAAAACAATCATTAATTGCTAGATTAGATCTTTATCATTTGTTTATAAATTCCTATCAAAATATAGCAATAAAAAAAAAAAACAAAACATTTGTCATGCTTATTCTGCTACAACTCTCCGAGAGCAATTGGAGAATTTCCCATTAAATATGAGCCACATGCAAATTATTTCTATAATTTTTTAAAAAGAAAAAAAATACCTTTTTTCAGGTCTTTTATTCTCTTCTTGTTATCACTATAACAGATAACTTCGTTCTCCTTTTAATCTTCTCCAATATTCAAATAATTTCCATACTTATGTATGACAATCTTTTCATCAAAAATTATCACTAACATTTAAATGCAACCAGTGAAAAATCGTTATTTTATAATTTTCTAGTATGTAGTTTTCTAGTATACGTGCTGTTTAGGTATTGACCATTCGCTTGAATTTGTTGACCGCTGATAATGTTCAGCATCTCATACATGTATTATCTTTGATTTCTGAATTCATATTGCGCGTAGCAAGAAAGAAATTGGTTGAAATTGAAAAAAGAAAGGAGTGGGCCGTTTCGATTACATCGTTCAAATATTTTATCATTCCGCACTGTGCACATTCGTTATTGTCCACTTCAACAATTCATCTGTCCACTCTCTAACTGTTCCTTCTTTTCAATGTTGTACATTTTTCATATATAAT